AAATTTCCTTCTGCTTTAGCAATTCCTATGGTTTTATTTTTCTTCTTTATTCTGCAAATATCTTCTTCAAATTCAACTGTGAATCCTTTCTTTGTAATTTTTCTTACGGATATCAATCCTCCTTCTAGGTCAGGAACATACAGAACATCCACGAGTCTCACTTCTATTTCGTTATCTTCGTCGTCTGTACAGTATAAGTATCCTTCTCCTATACCTTCGGACTTCATCTGCGTGCCGTTAGCAATTGTTATCTGCTCAGTTTTGCTTCTATCCAATTTGGTGAAAAAGTTTATGTTATCGGTCATATGACAAGTAGCACCTGAGTCAACTGACCAGTTTGAGTTTTGAGATTTTCTTTCTCTGGTGACTTCGAACGTGTAATTCTCAGTCTTCTCATGATTCTTATTTTCGTTTTCATCTCTTCATGTGTATCCTCGTTTACAGCAACTTTCGTTTTCTGTTTATTTCCATAATTTCCTTTATTTGTTTGCTTTTCATTCTTGAAAAATGAGTTACTTTCGTTTTTATCTTTTTCTTTGTGGTTATTTAAGAATCTGCACTCTTTTTCTAAGTGTCCTATTCTTTTGCAATAATTGCATCTTCGTTGATTTAAATGCTTGAATTTTGTGCTAAAATTCGTTTTGAAAGCAGTTGTTTCTTCTGCTCGCGTGACTTCTTTTCTTCTCAGAGCGTTAGTTCTTCTTCTGGGCGTGCTTCTAAAGCTGTAATGAGATTTTCGTAGCTCTTTGGTAAGCCGCTTAGTAAGAGCGCTGCAATGTGACTGTCCTTTATTTCTTCATCACCGATTCCTCGCAGTTCGTCTACGATTTCGAGCATTTTGTTGACGTGTTCTTTGAGTTTGTATTCGTTTTCTGCTTTTAACGTATACAGCTTTCTCAAAAGGTAAAGTTTGCTGGAAAGATTCTTTCTTTCATGTATTTTCTTTAATTCATTCCATATTTCTTTGGCTGTCGTTTTATTTCTTATGTGTACGATTTGGTTGTCTTCTACGAGTAAACTAATGGTAGCTTGTGCTTGTTCATCTCGTTTTCTCCATTCGACGTTTATTTCTTTTGGTGTATCATCTGCTATTAAATCCCATAAATTTTCCTTTTTCAGAATCATTTCAAGTTTGTATTTCCATACTTGATAGTTGTTATTGTTTAGTTTCATGATCGAATATTTATTTTCGCAGCTAGTAGCCATTTCTGCTTCTGTATTTCGAATGCGCAGTACGCAACTATACAGTTTTGTTTCGTTTTTGAAGACAGGCTTGGCTTTTCCTTTTTCGGATTATCCAGCGATAATTTATGGTAAAGTATCTTTTCTGTTTTTTATTCTTAATGGCTTATTTCGACATATTTTATGCGTTTAGTTGAAGTAAACATATTTTCGGTCTCATAATCTTTTGTTGAAGGTATTCGTGGTTCATTTTTGTTTACTGTTACAACTTCGCTAAATCGAGACGAGCAGATGAATAAAACAGAATTATAGTTCTTACCTTAATAAAGTGTAATCCAAACTGCGGAGGTAAGGAACACGATCATTATTTTAGCAAACGCAAAATAACATATTTATTAGGTATATGAAGAAAAAAAATATAGCGATGATTACAAGCGTTGTTTACTGCCCATTGCATAACGCGAGAAGTGAGTCATACAAGGAGAAAATGTTTCTCCTTCTTTTTTTTTTTTTTTTTTTTTGGATCAAGTCCAATTACAGTTAGCGGGGATAAGGGGGGAATTAACGTCGAAGTGTACAGCTTCATCCCTGTCATTATGAATTGCTCCACACTAAACTCATCACCAGCTCGAACAGAAGTAGACAATCTCCTGAACGTCGTAAAAGAGTTGTTAAGATTTAAGGAACATGATTTCCAATCCCCAAAATCTGCGAGAAACTGTCCCATTTCCTCAGCGGATTTATAAATCGTTCTGGATACATGTATACTAGGAACGCTTTCATACCGTGCCCCACTTTTGTGCAAGTCGACCGCTGTTCGGAAAGACAGAAATCTTCATAATGGTGTCGCGGCATAAAGGAAAGTACACAAACTGATTATCAGTTTCTGTCTTGAAACTGATCGTCGGCACCCTAACACCATTCCGAAGTTTTTGATAAAGGTGCGAGAATCCTTATGCAAGTGCGATTTGAGATTCAGTTACTGATTAATTAATTAATTAAGCAAAGGCTGAAATAAATTTTCGACACTTTTATGAAAAATGTTGAATTCTTATGAAGCTGGCCTGAATTTTATGTAAAAGTAGAACAGCATAAAGGTGCCCAAGTTTTCATCAATCAGAGCAATTTTCCAGGTTGTATTTGTTGAAAGAGGGCTCTGGTGTTTCAACAAATTAAACTTTATTTTCAGCGAAATGATAAACTGATTTACCTACAAGGGGGGGGATGATGTATATAACTGTCTTTCCTAATGTTTCTTATTTTAGATGTAGAACGAATATAGACCGTAAATTTAAGCAAAACTATCTGATGATAAATCTTCAATATTCTATCAAATATTCAATTTTTCACACTTTCAATCTAATAGTTTAAATATCCTATCTGATTTCTCTCAGCTGTTATTGTACACTCTCTGAGAAAAAAGGACAGTTTATAAGATATTTTCTCTCTCCTTTCTGAATGTCTTCGTAGTGTAACAGTAGCACACTTGGCGCATATTATGAGAGGTCCAGGGTTCGAGTCTCGGCTAGAACAATGCTCATTTTTCACACCTCCAGCATCAAAAATCCCAATGACTCTGCAGTGGCGCCCAAACTAAATAGTGGTGGACAATAATTCGTTACGGCCAGGAGTTTGCCAAGATGGTGCCAGGAAGAGCTTTAGAAGTTAAACAGGAGAATAAAATGCCAGAGCAGAATCGGAATAATGAAACATTCCGTTCATTACTCACTCCTGGATGATAATAATCGGCCTCATCGTTAACGCAGCACACCCAACATACACTCACGTTTGTGAAAATTGCAACACCAAGAAGGAATCGTCATAATTGAATGCAATTTAATACACAGTTGAGTGGTAGTGGTATAAATAAATGATTAAATGTTCAAAGCAAACAAACAAGAACAAGAGATCAGAATCAGTATTTTGTGTGGCCACCACGCGCCGCAATAAGTGCTGCTACACGACGTGGCATGGAGTCAAACAAAGTTTGAATGTCTGACTGAGGAAGAGCATTCCATATCGTTTGTACGCGTACCCAAAGTTCGTCTGCAGACGCAACAGGACGAGGATCACGAGCAAGACGCCGACCAATGACATCCCACACATGTTCAATTGGCGACATATCCGGAAAACACGCAGGCCAAGGAAGAAGCTGTACCTGCTGCGCTGTAAAGAAGGATTTAACAATCCGAGCAGTATGAGGGCGGGCATTGTCCTGTTGAAATACAGCGCCTGGCAAGCTTTGAAGGAAGGGAACAGCTTCGGGCTGTAGAACTTCACGGATATACCGGTTGCTGTTCAGATTGCCCACAATTCGTAGCAATTGAGATCGTCTATGATATGCTATGGCGCCCCAGACCATAACTCCGGGTGTTCGTCCACTGTGGCGTTCGATAATGCACTCCGGAAGGTGGCGTTTCACCGGCATAGCGTCTGACACGAATGCGGCCATCATGGTACCACAAATTAAAGCGGGATTCGTCAGAAAACACGACATGCTGCCAATCAGCACGCCAGTCTCTATGCTGATTGGCCCATTGTAGCCGCAGGCGGCGATGGTCGTGCGTTAGGGGATCCTGTATAAAGGAGTCCGTGCGCGCAGTCCACACTGCAGCAGACGTCTACGAATTGATGAAGCACACAATGAAGCACCTGTAGCTATTGACCACAGTGCTGCCAATTGTCTAGAGGAAGCTGTACGGTCCGTCCGCGCCATGCGGACCAGGTGTCTATCATCGCGAGCTGACGTCACATTTCGGGGTCCACTCCCGGATTTCCGAGTTGTCCGACACTCGTCCGTCCACTGCTTCCAAACGCGCATCACTGTGCTGCTGTTACGCTGCACACGAGAGACTACTGCACGATACGACAATCCAGCTTCACGAAGGCCGATGATTCTCCCTCGTTCAAACTCTGTAAGTTGTTCAAATCTCGCTCTCTTTCGTCGACGAGGCATAAGTACAGATTGAGTTAACGTTTACCACTAGCAGATAACCACCGATAACCATACACGCCTCGCTACAGCCGTCTATTTATTCGGATCCATCAGCCGTTCAGAGGGCGCTGCTCAGCATACGCATGCGCTACGGATTTGCAATTCTAATCATTTGCATATCATGCGCTACTTTTGCATTTCCTGAAAATTTCAGCTCACTCGCGTAAGTTCTTCATGGTGTTGCAATTTTCACAAACGTGAGTGTAGATTAAAATAAAAATGCAGTTAAAAACATCCAAATCAAAATTGCCAATATAAAATAAGTTTAAAGTGATATCCAAATAAGATGAAATTGTTTCTCTTAAACACCGAACATTTATATTCAGTTTTCCAAATTAGAGTTTTAAGGTAAATGGGACATTCATTCATCTTTAATTGTCGCTATATATCACTGAAAGGGATCTTTTACCTTCTTTATTATCAAATACACCCATATAAATTTTTCTACAGTTTATGGCTTGTCGAATCCAACTGCATTTTTCACATCCGTTCAACCATAAATTGCTATCACAATTTTGTGAATTTTGACTCATGTGCAACCTTCTAGTGCCAAAAATTTATCATTGATCGCTGCTTTATAGACAAAGCAGTTGAAGTACTTGTGAGTAACAAATGTTACTACTCAAAAACGTTAAATAATGAAATAAAACTCAGTTCTTGTATACTTATGTTTGCAGCTGCCGAAAGCAAGTGAACTCGATGTTATACACCAGCTGCTAGTAACATCAAGAGTAGGAGCCCTTATCGAACCTCGTATCTTTTGCTTAATTAAATTTTAAGAATTTACTGCAAAAACGTATTGAGTATTTAAATGGATACTTACCCTGACATCTGGTTCTGGAATACATACTCCGGCAAAAAATTCGTTAGATCGAAACACTTGCATATGTCTTGGTAGTAAGTCGCCTAAAATGCAATTAATTTCAAATTTATTATTAATGCATAGTAGAAACAAAATTTGTTGATTTGTTTACTAATTTTTACATTAGACTTCAATAAAAGACAGAGAAATTTTTGCACAGTGCCAATAAAAGTGATATGTAAAATTACAGTTCCACTGAAAAAGAAGCTGCTTGCATTTCTTTTTATTAACAACTATATTGATTGTACTTAATATCATTAAATATTTTATTAATTAAGAGGTATTCTGTTTAAATTTTATTTGTTAAATTTTTTTCCCCGAAATTCAAACAGTACGACAAAAAACAAAAATGTGTATATTTATAACACATACAAATTTCCGGTAAGACTATATATGAACATGCATATATTTATATGCATGGCGTATAGTAAACAGAGAAATAACTGAACGTAGAAAGCTAGAGATATGGAAACTGTGCCTGCATAGTAAGTAACTATGCTGTATCGTATGAGATCGGTTGCAGTACACCTTGAGCTGAATTTTGGAAGTTAACGATCTCATCTCGAAAACTACAAGGGATAGCAAGAAAAAGTTAATAACAAACCTGCACAGCCTCACTGATTTACAATGAAATGATGCACTATATTCAGCAGGAACTTGAGTAAAATCCTCCGATATCCGATCACCGGCATAAAACGCCAAGCCGCACAGAGCTCAACTGCTTGAATTTTATGGAGGAAGTGGTAATTCGCCGTATGGTACGAAGCATTTGAACCTAAATTCTATACAGCGTGTTTAGAATGTTTTAAAAAGAGCGATTGCTCTACACCATTCTAGGCCTTAAAAACCTTAGACTTCAGAAAAATGTGATTTGTTGCCGAAATCTTTGATCATCAACCTCATTTAGAGTATAAGTACCTGTTGTAAGATATGTAAAACTGTGCTGAGCGGCCATGCACCTAAATAGTCCGGCCGTTGTAGAAATCTTATATATCATGTTTTCTCTACGTTTCGTTTCATTTGCATATCATGAAACATTTAACTCTTGTTCTTTTTCTTATCTTGCAGTTGTTTCTGTTATAATATTGGGTATCGTATGCAAAATTTCCTTAAAATAAAAGAATTACTTTTCATTATATCGCGTATTTTATATTCACATTCTTAATTTGGGATATCAGTTGATTAAATACATAATGCAGGAGGACATACGACAGAAAGTTTACGTCGTGAAATCCTTTGAGACGAAATATAAAGAAAAGAAACGGTGCGCGATTTCCAGTTTACTTATTGCTCATCAGCAGTTGTAAAGAGTTCAAGCAAGTGTAAACACGTTAGCCCCATTATACAACGAATTTCAATACGACGCTTAGACATGCTGAAGCAGCTTTGCATCGAGTGGGAAGGGGTAGAGTGATTTTACCAGCTCTCTTTTGAATTTAATGCCTTTTAGAGCGAAATGCTTAGTAGAGCAGTATGGCGTAGGTACTTCGTACGTACAGGAGCAGAGGAAGCGAGGGAGAAGTAGTAAATGTTTGCACCTTAAGAAAACAATTATGCAGCGAACTGGTCCATGCAGTTCAGGTGTTAGCAACACGATGAATCGTCTTGAAAGGTGATAGTTGTACCGAAGAACTTCTAGGATTAAGAGCGACAGTTTCATCAAAGCAGGACTGGCTCCGTCAAAGCGACGAAGGAAAAATATACGCTAAGTTTACTTTAGAAGGCGATATCCATCCAGCCTTTAATACTATTTTACGCACGTGCGAAACAATTATCCGGCCGGTGTTGACGATCATGTTTGTCAAGAGTTCAGATTTTTATGACACCATTTTTCCCCTGCCGTATCGACGTAAATCAAATCAATGATACTCGCAAGTATATTAATTAATAGATAATCTATTTTGAGTAAAAACAATGTACGAAAAATCCGAGTTTAAATTATTGCGAAATTTCATGTACATCTGGTAAAAAACTATGTTAGTTAAAAACGATTTTAAATTATTCGAAACAAATAAATCCGGGAATCTTTAGAAATTTGAATTTTTTCGGTTAATTATTGCGTACATCTGGTAATCTGGAGATGATAATTTGTTTCTCCACGATATAGTGGTGTAGCAGTCAAACTGGTTTACATTACGTTTATGGAAGCTTTCCTTCTTTGCATGCGTATTCTTTGGCCGTATGCAGGGTGAAGGACTGGAGGTCACGTGATTCCACTGGCTAGTTAGGAGATTCACAAATAAAGCTTAGTCATCGGATTCTCCTGGTCAAGTTATCTGGAACTTAGCGAACATTTCTTCCTATTTTGTTGAAGCAAATGCAACAAAACAAAATTTGAAAAAACACGAAAACATAATAAGCGAAGAAAACGTAAATTTCAGCATTTACAGTATTTACAGATGCGTCCAAATCATTATCCAATTCTTTGAGGGATTAGATGCATTATATTGGGCATAAATACCTAAATTTTCATTAGCATGTAAGGCGCATAAAGAGTAGAATGATGATAACTACACTATATCCATTTGCAAGAGCTGTATAGTAAAGATTAACTGACGAAATGTCCGTTACTTTGCAGACGTGTTGCGTACGGTCTTAATTTATTGTCATATTCGAGGATCTCATATTGCAGAATTGCCCAGAAATTTACTGTATGGAAGTTTATCACCTTTTGGAAGAATTTCTCGTTCATGGCTCTGATGGTATTATGCATTCTTGAGAGTTTGAGTTACTTATGAAGAATGTCAGTTTTAACCTCAGATGATGATACTCAGTACTCGATTTTGCAGAATCTGATAAATTTTCACGTTATCAGGGGTAACTCTAACCCATGCTGGTTAGAAGTAAATTATTATTGGTCTTAATATAGATACGTAAATGTGTCTTTTGCTCTTTAAGTTTAGATTTGAGAGATTTCCGAGTAACGGACAAAAGGCTGCGAATAATTGCCTTTACGTTGACTGCGTGTAAATACAATCTTAAAAAAAAAAAAAAAAAGACGCACCGAGAAGATATAAAGCCAAATTGGACACAAATTGATATGCATTACGGGTTTCGACCGGAAACATGCAAAATTTTTACATTTTGGCTGCCAATGAATGAATGGTTGTCGCTACAGCGCATCTGATCTGCGCAAATGGCTGGATATTTAAGAAGAGAAATTACAATTCCAAATCATAAATTCTTCACGAATTTCATTCCGTGTACTCTGGTAGACATTAACTATGCCTCGCATACAGGTGCGCGTACGATATGCGCAGATGTCAGAATTTGAGAGAGGTTGTGTAGTTGGGCCAAAAGAAGCCGGTTGTTCTTATCGGCGAATAGCTTGACATTTGAGTAGGAGCGATGCCACTATTAGACGATGTTGGCAGGAATAGGTGAACCATGGCCGCACACAGCGTCAAGAAGGAAGCGGTATGCCTAGGAGAAACCACAGAACGTGAAGACCGAGCATATCGTCAGAGAGGCATCACAGCCCCAGAGATCATTATCACGACTGCTGCATCATTATTAGTGAGCAGTGACCGCAAGGACCATTCATGAACGGCTCACAGAAAGGAGATCCGAGGTCACGGCGCCCCTGTGCCGACTTGATACATGACTTCTGTACAAGTCAAGACCTTTTTGCAGTGGTGTCGGGCTCATTCGCACTGGAATGTCACTGGACTGGAGTAGAATAGTCTTCAGTGATAAGTTCTGTTTTGAACTGAGCCCCGATGACCAGCGAAGGCGAGTCTGGAGACACCCCGGACAGTGGTGTGATACCAACCCGACTGTCTTCCGGCAGACAGGCCGACAACCACCAGTGATGGTCTGGGGTGCCATTTCATTTCATAGTAGGACGCCTTTGGTTATCATCCGTCGCAACCTTACAGCACAGCGGTACGTCGACGAAGTTCTAAGGCCCGTTGTGTTGCCCTTCATGTCACGCCACCCTGGGCTTACATTTCAGCTAGACAATGCTCGCCTCCACACTGCACATGTTTCTACTGCTTGCCTTAGTGCTTGCCGAACATTACCTTGGCCAGCAAGGTCGCCGGATCTCTCTCCTATTGAGCACGTTTGGAGCATTATGGGCAGGGCCCTCCAACCAGCTTGGGATATTGACGATCTAACGCGCCAGTTGGACAGAATTTGGCACGATATCCCTCAGGAGGACATCCGCAACCTCTAACAATCGATGCCAAGCCGAATAAGTGGTTGCATAAGGGTCAGAAGTGGACAAACGCGTTACTGACTTTTTCACTTTGTGAAGCTCTATCACTTCAATAGATCATCCAATTTTTCTCAAACTGTAATCATTTGTTTTTCTGTACATGTACATGACTTCTACCGATTTTCGTCCCATTCGGATAACTCCTTCTTGGTGCGTTGCTTTTTGGTCTAAGAGTTTATAATATGGTCATTACGTTTTTGGTTAAGATTCGGAGATATTTCATAGTTTTCGCTTCGAATGTGATATGTCTCTCGATTTTGTGATTTTGTATAAGGAGGAGTTACGATATGGAAACGTGGATGCTTATCCTTCATTGATTGCAACAATATTCAGATTCTACAAGTAGTTTGCGCACCGCGAGCTTCAGATTTGCGGTCAAGACCGCTATTACATTGCCATCTGTGTAGCAAGCTAGGAAAAAATTCAGGTCTGCTCTATGGTTTGGAAAATAGTGCACATAAATCAAGAGCCTTCATGTTGTCACTGGTTTAAACAGTGTACAACAATTTGCGAACCCTATCACACATGCGCAGTTCGTCATGCGGACCAACCCGTTTCGTACAGGTCTACATCCTACTCCTTTGAAAAATATTCAGAACTGCTGATGAATCTATCGATGGCATATTTCCAGCATTTTAGGCCTTTCCTGGAAAGCTTTCAAGTACATACACCAAATTTGAAATATCTGTAAGACCTTTCGCTTACGAAAGCATAATACCATATCCTTTGCTTTTTACATCTTTATCTCACCGAAACGTAATTTCTTCGACTCTGGATTAATATCATTTAGACATCTATTTATCTCTCTCAAATTCCCATATATGC